ACGTGACCTTTTAGCCGACCGACACGGACAATACAATCTTTGTGCAGATAAGTCTACTGATTAGCATGGAAATTTCTAACTTGGCACTATCAAAATGTTAAATCTCTTTTGCTCAATCCTTCCTAGCTTCCTTGCTTTATCATCAGACAGCTCTATGCAAGCTGTTGGCCCCTGTTAACAAACGTATCATTAGTATTGGAAGAGAGACGTATCATTCGTCTTAAATTACTCTCAGCATGAGCGCCTGTTTACACGCATTTTCCCATAATGTCAAACTGTTCATGTCACTTTTGGCAAGAGAACACGTTCAGCTCGGGAAATCAATGACGGGTAACAAGTGTGTAGTCTGAAGAGACCCGCGTCTGGAAAAGAAAAACGAGCCGGAGAAGGTGTTTGTCCAAACAAGGTAACACTAGCGCCGTGTTTGATGTGTATAAAGCCGAGTGAGAGGAACATCACCCTGCTGTCTCCTCTACTTGTTTACTTCAGCACGGTACCCCATCAGGCCACCCCACATGGACCCCCCGCCCCGCACAGACAAACACAGCGACAGAGAGAAAGGTAGTGTGAGAGAGAGGAGAGACACACCTCATTAATCTTGCTGGCACTTTCCACTCCGGGGCTGTCTGTTTTGCCAGCGAGTTTACTTTTACGCGGAGGTGAAAGTGACTGATACCCAAACGGCCTCCTTAAAATGCAAAATGTTCAACATCACCCACAAGTAATATTTTACACAGTTTTTAAATTCACTCGCCGTCATATTTTCCAAAACTCTTTCATTGCTCTCTGCATTTTCTCTTCCCTCAAAATGGAATTCCAAATATATTTGGACAAACACCTTTTCCTCCTGGCCGGCGTTGTAAGGAGTGACGTCTATTATGATGTGTTAAAGAGAGGACATCAAAACTTACATGTACAGTTAGTGGGCCTTCTTGATAACATTTGTGGTCTGAAGATGCCCCTCGTGAAGTGCTTTGACTCACTCACCCCAAGTGATTTTACACAAGTGAAAGAATTCTGTCTGCAGACACAAACCAGGCGGGCAGACTTGTCCACCTTATAAAACGATATGGCATGTCCGTTCTATTAAAGCAGGCCAAAATAAATGTTTGAATGAAGCAGTTGTCTGGTGATGCATGAAAAGAAGTGTTCAACCGTTATCCGGGAATATACTCGCTGGCTGTCTTGCAGAGACGAGAAGATTGCAGTCTTGTCCAGACTGTGAGGTTTCCAGGCAACCAGCAAAGCTCTTCTCTTGGCAAAGAAATAGTCTGGCCGCATTCGTCATTTTCTCACTTTGTTTTCAAACAAGATGCAATGAGTTTCAAAGGGCTTAGCACAGGGACCTTTTAACCTTCCGTTACAGCCGTGTGTTTGTTGTTTCCTCCAGTTTACAGCCTTCATGCTAAGCTAAGCTAACCGTCTCCTGGTCCCAGATTCAAATTCAATGCGTAGGTATAAAAGTGGAAGAAACTTTCTTACTTAAATCACAGCGAGAAAGCCAATAAGTCCATTTCCAAAAATGTCTATTCATTGTAATGCAACTCTCGTCTACCTAAGTTTGTAGTTGAGCTTTTTTTGTTGTTTTGTTGCAGTTTTTAAGTCAAACTTTTAAAAAAAGACGCACACAGACGCAAGAAAAAAACAGTAGACTTATTAAGAGGTTTATAAGAATTATTTTAGAATAATTATAAGAATTAATTTTCATTAAAATACCACCACATTTAAAGGCGTATTATTATTATTAACGCTGTCACATTATCTCAAACAAACAAACATGGCTGACAGCAGACAGGCAGCTCCAGCGTCAAAGGGAAATCACACTTGTGAATGGTGGCGGGGAGTCTGAATGACAATGGGTCCGGGATTCCCGTTGTAGTTTGTTATGGGCAACGGGACCAGGCAGCGGCTGCCGTGTGCAGGAGTCAACAGCCCCAATCACCCACCTGGAACCTGGAGCCCAGACAGCCGGGGGGGTGGGGGTGGAGCCGCCGCCCAGACGACAACGGCTACAGGCTGCGGGGACAGAGGAGCCCCCGGCCCAGACGGATCACCCGGGACCGCGTTGTCTCTCCGCCCTGCTGGTGACCTGCGTGTGCCCCTCCCTTCCATTATAGTTGCCGAAACCAGCCTTGTTAAATTCCACTTCATTTGCCCCCCCATCTACCACAAGCTCCTCCTCCTCCTCCTCAGGAACCGTTTGACCACACCCAGCTATCCCCACCTAAATCTGTTGTGCTCCAGTTTTAATCACCTCTGGATGTGGGTGGAGGCGGGTGGGGGCTTTGAGGGAGTGGAGGCGAAAACCACACATTACATCACGTATTTACTTATCCAGGGTTGCTAGCGAGTGACATGGAGAGTAGAGTTGGGGGTGAAAGGTGAAGGATTCAGGAGTAAATGAGTCATGACCAAAACCAAAGGCTTGTGTGCTGGGCACAAGGTTGCTTAAACACACAAAGGTTCACAACGCATCCATTAAGACACCAGCTTTTTGGGGTCGGAGCTTAAAAGTCCTAAAACTCTCACACAAACTGTGATTGCAACAGACACATTTCTAAGCTAATCCTTGGAGGCTTCACAGATGTACACGTCTTGAACATAACGCCATAATGTTTCCCAGAATACAGAGTAAGCACTTTAAGATTATTTGCTCTTAATGAAAACAATTAGGGGCTCGGGCTTTTGGGAGCCTGCCAACTACCGTTTCAACATTTTTCCTCCCTTGCAAGTGGAATTTGAACCCCCTAAATTGCTTCCCTTTGGTAACAATGCCGTAAACACCCTCCAATCCCCTCCCGAACATCTGCCCATGGTCAACATCACCCCGGTAACTGCTAGTGACATGTGCCGCGGATCGGCCTTGTAGTGCGCCCGGCCACCCGACCTTAGAGAGGTGGTGCGACTCAGGGGGACCAAACAGACCCGGTGAAACCGATCGGCAGACGGTTCCGTTTACCGCCAGGGGCGAGATCACTTGGTTTGAAAGTCGAGCGGTCCTCAACCTCGAGATCGTGGGCAACGCAGAGGGGATGAAAGAGAGGTGAAAAATAAAAATAGAGGAGGTAAGGGAGAAAGCAAAAGAAAACATAAGAAGGGTGGATGGACTTCCACTCATTTATCTCTCATGTCCCAGCAACCCCGGCCTCTCTGATGGAGCGGCAATGGTCCGCGCAGAGACATCAAGCACATTCCAAGAGTCGGCCCAATTACGGGAAGATGAGGGGCAGTTCTCTTTGTTTAAGAACAAAGCCAGAAGTGACACAACTGGTCTTTAAAGGGAGCTCTCACAGCCGTGGCTGAAGAGAGGGGGGCCCGTTGGGAGGGAGAGGGGGGGGAGGAGGAGGGTGGCCAGCTGGTTATAAATATCTATTTGGTCAGTTACTGGAAGGAAAATTTGCACTTTGTTTGTCATCCACTCATCCAGGTGGTGGGCCTGGTGGTTGCAAAACATCAGAGCACAGAGAGAGAGAGAGACAGAGGGAGAGAGAGAGAGCGAGGCCAACCTGTTTTAGTTTGACTGCCAGAGATGTGGAATTTGACTAATTTGTATATGAAAGCCACATGTCATTCTCAAGTGTGTACCTGTAGTGAGAGAAAGCTCTTGGCAAGACCCATTATGCATTTCATTGTGCAGGCTGTGCCGATTAAATAATACTACTGATTAGTCTTGCACGGAGGGGGGTATTTTTCTAATGGGTATCATCTGGAAAATGCCAATATTATAACACTCATGTTGAATTGACTGGGATTGAAGGACATTCTATGCTGAGAAATGTATTACTGATTAAGAAAATATGTTCTTCCGGGGGTTGTGGAATCAGACATTTCAGTTCCAGAGTCAAAACCATCAAATGCAATTATAAGATTGTGTGGGATATTTGGAATACTTGTTGTGGTGACTCAAAATCTACTTTTACATAAGAATAGCTGAACCTCAAAAAGGCTTGAAATGTCTCTGTGAGAAGTGTTTTTGTTGCTATTGAGTGGATGGTTAGGGGTGTGAATTTCTGACAAAAAAGACTGGTCTTGGTGTAGAGAAACAGTTAAAATGAACATTGTGCAAGTGGTTATATATGGCCAGAAGCATGGAGGACTGGACTGCAGAGGGGCGGGACAAGTTTAAAGTTTAATTCCCACTCTGCAGTAAATTAGAACACAGCAGGGTAATGTCTGTTTATCCCAAATACAGCTGCCTGGGTCTCTCTCTCCTATCCCTCTCTTCCCCCCAACCGTCCACACCGTGGCCCCCGGATCACCTGGCCCAGCAGTACACACACAAATGGAACTACACAAAACACACATTATGCAAACACACGCACTTGCATATACAAATTAAACAGTGCATGCATACATACATGCATGCATATACACAGTGTTACACACACAGAATCACACTGTACTCATGTAAGCACACACAGAGACATAAACACAATAGTTGTGCGCAAGAACAGATACATTACAAAAAGATTTTCAAAAAGAGGAGTTCAATGACACACGCGGCTTGTGGAAAAGTTAAACTGAGACGTAATTCCTTTGTGGCCACTTGCCTTATGTTGTAAGGGGAAGTGTGTACCCATCTAGATTGTATCTCAAAATAGTCAATAAGAACAAATATGTGACCGTGTCAGAAAGGTGTTTATTGTGCTCTGTTTAAATGCTTTGGCTGTAGCAACGTTTACAGTCATGCTTTATTGGTCTGTTCTTGATACTGTGGTCGACCCTCTGACTAGAAGAGTTGGAGGAGTTCCTTATAGTGTTTTAAACAGTACTTTCATTCTGATCCCTCCAAAAACAGCAGGTCAGCAGGGACAGCGTTTTAATTTGAGTCGTTATGTGTAAGTATGTGCTGCCCTCTAGAGGCAGCTCGAGTCATTGCACGATGACCACAAACCATCAAATTAAGAGCTGAAACCCATTAATGGGTGTTTGTCTCCATCTGGTGAACCATGAGGAGAACGCTGTCTATTAGTGGAACGGATTCCGTCATGTTCGCGCAGTTTCTACGTGCGCGTTCACGGTTGAATCCTGCGCTCTATGCGTCAGCTGTCAAGCCGTGCACACGCACATTACTGTACTATCTCTATGCGAGATTTGTTTGGACACAGAATGAATCTGAAATTCCAGAGAGACCGGAGCACAAACAAAGTATGGTGACTGCAGTATCACGACCCTCGAGCTGGACTGAAGCGACTCGGTGACAAGAAAGTGGTTTGATAAAGGCTCAACGTGATGTTAGTGGCGGGGAGGAGAAAATGAGAGGACCGGTTTTCCGGGTCGCAACGTTGCAGACTTGCTAATAAGCTAGCCACGGAGTTCCACAACCGTTAGCTCAGCTAGCTAGCATGCTAACAAACTGATGTAGCAACGGCTGTGGGGCAGTTGAGGGAATGCGGCGGGAGCCGCTCCGGAGGTCTTTTGTTTTTGTTAAAACTTGATTCATTTTGAACACTAACCACTATGGCGTCACGCGACGGGCTCCGCGTAGTGATACTGAGAGCGTGAATGCGAAGCGGCGGACGAGGTGGTCGTGAGGTTCGGTCTCGCAGGGAACGATAGTTATGAGCGGTTTCAACACTACAACCAAAACCTCCGCGGTAAGCTCTCCTCTGAACGCCGACGGCTCGCCGGTCAACAACAACATCAACCGGGACTGGGCTCTGGGGGGCGATGCGTTCTCGTGCTGTTACGAGATGAGTCCCATGGACGACACGATGCAGGCGGGGATGTCCTCGGTCCAGTCGGGACTGGACGGACACCTGCCGCTGCTATACGCCGGAAACTGCGGCACGCAGGACGGCTTGATGTTGGACCTGAACTCCCCGGCGGCCTTCCTCGACTGCGGCGGCGGCGGCGGCGGCTCTCCGGACTACAGCGCGGGTCCGCTGTTCGAGAGGAGGAAGAGGTCGCGGTCCAACAGCTCCAGGCAGCGCTTCAACGAGGTGGTCACGGAGCTCGGTCCGGAGGAGGTGCGTTGGTTCTACAAGGAGGACAAGAAGACGTGGAAGGCGTTTCTCGGCCACGACTCGCTTAACATCGAGCACATGTTTCGGAGGTACTGTGAGCGGAACCCCGGCGCGACCGCCGACCGGGTCGTCGACGGCGGCGAGGAGGACCGCGGGAATAACGGCGAGGAGGGCCGGGGGCTTAACGGCGCGGTGTCGCCGGAGGCGCGGACCGGCAGCGCGGACGGGTCCGCCGTGTCCTCCTCCGAGGTGCGGGACCCCGACGGGATCGAGATCAACATCGAGCCCGTGTGCGTCCGGGGGGGCCTGTACGAGGTGGACGTCAAGGAGAGAGAGTGCAAACCCGTCTACTGGAAACGTGAGTGTCACGGGGGACAAAGCGTAAACAAAGCGTGTGGATCCATGTTGGTTTTTGTTTGTTGTTTGTTGGATGCAGCTCCAACAGGCACTGATCCCAGCTGTGTGCTCATTCCACATGTGTACACGCACTTCATATTCTGCTGTGTAGGGGCCCACAGCCACTCACGGGCCACAAAGAGACTCAAAAAGACACTAACTAGCATTTGATGACTAATTAAGTCCCGTTACTGATTGACTCCTGCATTTGTTTTCCCACCGGCTAAGTAATCAAGTCTTCTTGTCTTTCGGAGACATCCAAAAATACACAGGAAGTCTGTCTATTAGAGTCAGCTGATCTGTGCTGACCACTTTGTGTTTCCAGGAAAAGGGCCGGGGAACAAATGAAGGCGGTCACTTTCAAAGAAAGGGTTATTTTGAACGTTCTTGCCAAGTGACTGTCAGTTCAGCAGTTATTATCCTCAATGTTCCTGCTATGGATGTAAGTCCTTTCGTAGACTGCTCGCACATTCCTGTGCCTTTTCAGCCCGGCCTATGCCACTGAAAACACAATGTTGTGTTAACACTTAGGGGAGGGGGGTTGTTATTAACCACCTTAACAAAAGAGCGAACAGTAGCTACTGTGGGCCTCTTATCAGTGTGTCTTGTTGGCGTGCCTATCGTAGTTGAGTGGGCCTCTGTGGCCGTGAGATAAGAGCGTGCTCCTTTGCTCGCAATTCTAAATTCCGAATTGCCTGCACGATTCTCCTTCAGCACCAGAGAATCTTTTAATAATGTTGCTCACTGTAATCAAAACTGTCCTCGCTCCATAAGCCACGGAGACTTGCCCCCCCCCCTGCGACCAGCTGGATTCACCAGACTTGTTGAGTTAAGTGTCGTCCTTCTGAAAGGTAAAGTAATGCGCTCAGTTACTATAGAGAGTGAAGCGCATTTAAAATGTTTCTCGCTCGCGGTCTTCCTCCTCCCTCCCTTTGCTGGCCCATTGCTGGATGTCTTGGCCTGTTACCGTCCCCTTTGGATGAGCGCTATAGTGCGAATCACCCGCATTCACTCGTAGGAAAACAATGCAATGGGAAAAGCTAATAAAATGTCATATCAATGAATTCATCCTAACAGTGATGATTTTTCCATCACATTCTGTGTCCATCCCTTGACATTATTATGTAGCCGAATCCGTGTTTGTTTTTTGTTTTTTACTGTTTTACAGAACAAGACAATATTCCAGTGATTAGGGGCCAGTGGTTTATTGATGGCACCTGGGTCCTGTTGGAGGAAGAGGAAAGTGACCTCATCGAGCAGGAGCACCTGAACCGTTTCCGCGGGCAACAAATGCAGGACACCTTCGAGACGGACATGCTGGTCGGGACCGTTGACAGCAAAGACGGTGAGAGAAACAGGAAGGGGGAAGAGTGGAACAACACGTTACTGAAGCGTCCATTCTGGTCACACAAGTCTGTATAACTTTGTTACAGCTAGAGAGTCCGGGGTGGTTTGTGGCGAAAGCGTTAGGCCAAAACACATTATTGCTCACTCACCAGTATTTACTGCTGCTAGAACGCCAGTATAGTGCTCTGTTAGGGCAGTAGTGTAGAGTAGATGAAATACTGTTGTCGGCATTATTCCTAATAAACGCCATTACAAGCAAAGTCCTCGTTGTTACAATAAACTAAAAAGCATTGTGGGTCTTGCACAGTGAACTCTGCGACGGCGCCGCGCGGTAGGATCGATTCAAACCCGGTAGAAGTTAATGGAGCACGTGCCTCCATTCACGGCAGGGCAGGTTTTTTGTCATGTCATCCTCCCCAGGCAAAGCAGGTGCAGCCTGCGCACTTATAGGCTTCTCTCTGGCTCGGGCTTTGCCCGTGAGAGGCAATAAAGAAAGAGGCTCTTTGATTCAGCAGTCTCCTTAAGGCTGCCAGATCTACAGGACCTTCACTGGGGATGAATGTGTGAGTGTGGCAGATAAACGGAGTATAGCAGAAAAGCAACCCGCTAAAGAGAGTGACACAAATGTTTAGCGTGCATCATTAAAACTGAGCAAATATGGGTGAGACATCCAGCCTTCACAAAGACATCCATTCAAAATGTATAAACCATCAGTCTTAATCGATTGTTAGCATTTACTCATCACATTACTCGTGCATTCATACGGCTTGCCTCGTTTCTGGCCTGCTGCACTGTAACTGACACGTCGGGATACAGTCACTACCCCTTACTCTGAAGAAATGAAGTCCTATAAATACGGATCAGAAGACCGTCTCCGCTGCAGGGCGGTCAGCCCGCCTCGCGGCCTCACCGCATTTGGGACGTAGCTCGCAGCTGCCAGAGCTTTTCCTGAATCAAATCAGGTTTTGAATCCAGGACAGGAGGCTCACCCCTGTTCCACAGGTATCCATGTACATGTACGCATGGAACAGGGAAAGCAGGGCTCAGAGTCTGATTCTCTGCAAGCAGGGAGTGTGAAATGTATATTGGAAAAGAACACAAATTGATTTTATAGCATCTACTGGCGCAACAAAGAGATGATAAGAATTTAGCTTCTCCACGGCTGAGCTACCACAAGGTTGACTTGGACCTCCATAATTCTAATCCCCGCAAAGTGAGAAATAAGTACCTAGCCGAACAAAATATATCTGTCTGTGAAACTGTATTTGTACCCGCTCTTGTGATCTCCTTTATGCACGGAAGTGAGCATCTGTTTGAAGCCCTCCTGCTGCCTTTGTTGGCAGATTGTTTTCCACTTCTATATTTAGCAGAGGGTGAAGGGAAAGTAAGTGAAATATCCTGCTAATTCACCTTGTTTCGGTCTTTATTACCTGGAGCCTTTACAGCAGAGTATTTCATCTCAGAGGTAATGACTCGGAGCCATAAGCATCCCACCTTGAACTGCTCCACAATTGATAAATGTACCATAAAGCCAGTGAGCTGCGCTCTGGCAGTACTGCTGCACTTGCATTACCCTGCTACCCCCCCCCCCCCCCCTCTACTCTCTTTTCCATTCCTGCTCTCTGTGTCTGAGACTAAAGCAGCAGCCGGTACAGACGGTGTACCAGCGTAGCATCACAATGCGGCCGGGACCACAAGGTCCACAATGTGCGTGAAGGTCCCGTCTGTCTGAGGAAAGGAAGGAGGCGGACCAGAAGTACTAGGGCGTAGGCGTGATGTAGTGTATGCCGTGTGGCGAAGCTCAGTAGTCCGTTCCAGTGCTGCAGTCATACATCAATAACCATTGATTGGGTGGAGTTTGAACTCCAAATGATGAATTGATCAGCTTCAACAGCTTCAATGTCGTATCAAGTTTAACTATTTTCTTGTACACATACAGTAATGGTCTTTGTCCGCTCAAACTCATGATCCCCTACGCGTGGGAGCGCAGAGGAAGGTCGACCGTTGATTGAAAGTGCCCACGAGGGCATTGCAGTTTGACAATGGGGTTTAGAAACTTCTTTTAATGATTTGATTTTCTTTGGCCAACTTTGTACAGCAGAATTATTTTTCAAGCCTGATGGTCCCAATGTTGTTTTCCAACCCTGACTGAGGAAAATTAGGTTTGTCATTTACAGAGAACTGAAAATCAAATCGAAATGACAAATAAGAATATAATCCCTTCTATTTACTTCTCCACAAGCGTCTCCACTGTGTGTGTGTGTGTGTGTGTGTGTGTGTGTGTGTGGGTGTATTTGAGTACATAACAGTGAGCCCATGCTGGAAACCTTCGGGTGTGGCCCAGTCTGTCCGCCTCTCGGACGTCAGAGGGACAAATGAAGCCAGCGGGCTGCGTCAGGGTTATCTGAAGGCTCAATGCTTTTGGTATGTTTGAGGTAGGCAAGGCCCACACGTTTTGTTTGTGGGCGCCACACATTTTTATTTATTTTTTTCAACCGTCACACAAGGCAGGGCACACGCGGCATGATTGATAACAGACGCGTGCTTAAAAGATCAGCTGATTGTTTACAAACGGGCTCTGCTGGTCTGAAACCTGCCTTTAGGGGACCCGAAAAGCAACGCAGTATGATCCCAGCCTGAGGCTGAGCGTGCGCTGCCAACAATTGTTCTGTGTGTAGTAGATATTCCAGTCATTAGGGAACGCCTATTGATATTGATGGATCCATCAGCGCTGTACTGCTCAAATGGACTTTGCTGATAGCTTTTAAAGCAAACAGACTTCCTGTGCACTCGCCATGTCTCTCCCACCTTCTCCCCCTCCTCCTCCTCCTCCACATTTGCAAGTCAGACGTCTGCGTTGTCGAGGAATGAAGGAAGGAGGAATTTAGTTGAGTCTTTTAGACTTTGCTGATTTGATTAGCAAATGCAGGGAAGGTCTTTTTAAATGTCAGGACATCCATTTACAGCCAATTCAAAGATTCATTTATGTCATTTGACAGGTCCTTTTTCCTCACCAGTCAAGCTCAAGTTATATTATACCCTGCTGTTTGTATGCTTCTTGTCAGTATGTTCCTTCTTATATTAGTTCAACATCATTTCCTAACGACAAACAAAATGTTTTCCAATGATTATGCCTTCTTTTTTCCAGAGTAGTTTCGGTGCGTTACACATTTGACAAACGTCCTGACATGCTGACCTGCACCGTAAAGACGGTAGATTCCTGTCATGAGTGTAAAGCAGACGCTCCCCCGGTCACCATGTCAAGCAGCGCTGCATGTCGGGCTCACCCCGTGCGTACTACGTAGTCATTGCCTGAGGCTCGGGCCCCGTCTGTTACCGGTGTCCCCGAGGGCCTCGAAGCGGCAGTAACCGGATCGCAGCGCTACTTGATAGACTGTCCTGATCGTTTGGGTGATGACAGTGGTTAGCCTGTGTGTGTGTGTGTGACTGACACAAGGTTGATTACTCACTCTCTTTCTTGGTTGTTAGTTCTCTCCCACCTGCCCCCTTTCTACCTCCCTTTTCTGTTCAAATGGAGTGGATATCAGACGGGTGCTAAAACTACATGTCACAAGCGCAAACGCTGCCAAGGTACTGTAAAATACCACGTTTTTTATTTATACTTCTGCTGTGTTAGATATGCTACCCTGTGTGCTCGCTCTCTCCTAGTTGAACCTAGATACGTGTGGGGCTAGATTTTCCTTTCTGTTTTGGTCCAGACCTGCTCAATCTTAATATTTTGACCTAGACCTAGGCTCAGTTAGACATGGTTGTACAAAAAAAAAAATGGATTTAGGCTGCTCCCTCAGTTCTCCATTGCAGCCTTAACTGGGCCTAGTTGCTAGAGCGTCTCCCTTTTGTGCTGTGACCCAAAGTTTGGTACCACTGCTGCTTTTTGAGGAAACCTTTCTAGCCGTCTCCTCTGCTTGCCGGGATATTGAGTAGGCAGCACGGTTGACTCAATTGCGAGGGAAAGATCTTTTTTAGACGGGTAGCTGCTCCTCAAAAAGCCACCCTTCTTTACCCCTTTGTACCTCCACAGTCTCCCACTTTCTCATCACTTCCCTCTCCTCATCCCTGCGGGCATTTTGACCGACATTAATGTACTACCGCCGGCCCTCGCTCTAAGAGCAGTGGACAAAGCTCCCTGTTGAAAGCCAAACACCAGTGATGAGCTGGACAGTGGAGCCATTGTGGTGCTTTACTATAGCCCCCCTAACAGGATGCATAGACTCGCCCTTTTAGAGGTCCACTGCTGTCCTAGTTCTGGGTGTATTGACCCTTATCACAGACTCACCGAGTGGAGAATTCTCGGGGTCTGTGTCCTCATTTCATGGTTAACGCTAAAAAAACGTTGACCGCAGCAGAGACTTGTGATTTCCTTGCATTACGCACCGCCTGGGTTGAGATTACTGCAGTACTGCTAGTCGTACACTCTGGCAAGACATTACATTCAGATTAAACTAATAAATCACCTTCATGAGAGGAACGTCGCTGATATGTTTGTTTTTTTATTCTATTGCCAGGCAAAAGTCGTATCTGGTATCTTGCCACTCATCATTGGACAAGTGTTCTCAAAGCAAATTCTAGATGTTATTAAAGAGGCCCTTCCTTTTAATTCCAGCCCTCCCAGCTCTGTGCTTCCTGTCGATTTCCCCACGCTCACACGCAATTTCCTTGTTTCTCTTTATCTGTAGCGCATTGTTCCTCCACGCTCTGTCACATTCTCTTGCCTTTACCCCTAACCGTTTAACCCTGTTCCTCGTCCCGTGTGTCCCATTGTCATTCGCCAGCAGTGTAAGAGAGCGCTCTCGGTAAACTTTCCAAACTTCCCTGTACATTCTCCGTACTTCCGCAAGGCATTGCCTTTCACTGTAAAACAGGAAGTGTCCTTAAACAGCCCACACGCACCACTCCACCCGGCTGGCTTCATTGACACCTGCTAACCCCTTCATGTGTATGGGTTAGGCTAACAGTTCATATACTAGCTTGACTAATACCTCCTGTTTTACAGTGGACTCGGCTATAGATAAAACTCAACAGTCTGTCGTGGCTTAACCCCCCCTCCCCCCACCCACCTACCCTCTCCCTCATGTACAATTAAAATGTGTTTCAACTGCATCCCTTTTTCCTTTGCCCCTCAACCTGTGATACCACAAGGTAGATGAGGAAAGGAGGCCACTCTAAACTGTTTGAGATGAAGCCAAACCAGGTGGTGAAGGGTCCTCTTCGCTGCTTCTGCCCTAGATTTGTTAAGTGATATCCTGTGTGGTGGTAGAGGTTATGCTTATGTTTGCTTCACTGTCAAGGGGGCTTCATTGGAGGATCTGCAAAGAGAAATGGAAACGTGTCACTTAGGAAACTTTATATCTCAGCTCGGGCGCCTCAGGAAATGAGCTTTATTGTTTTATGTGCTTTTTGTTATTCCAAATTGAACAATGTGCCCCTTAATCCGACACGTCTGTTCCTTTTAGCAGATTCTGCTTGTTCTTCTCATGTAGAGGTATCCATTCCTTTTTCACACTGGTTGCCCTCAGAGTGAACGTCTAAGGCCCCAATAACTGCTCAGCCTCACATTAACCCCCAGTTGTCCTTGTCCAATGAAGAAATGAGCCTGCCCAGTTTATCTCTTCCATGTGAAACATAAACCCATGGCTCTGGTTGAATGTTGTGTTTTATCGATTTACATAGAGACAGCAACATGTAGTCTTCACAAATTAATGTTTTTAGTCCTTCCTCTTACGTTCTATTCCATTAAGCAATTGTTGGTCCATATGGAACACCTAAGGAAAGGTTTGACAAGTGATCCTTATTTCCCCTCCTTTATGATAAAAGATGTTCAGTAAGCCCTAAAGAGGCTTTTAGTGTACTTATTGAAGCCCAATAGCAATACAATGCTATAATCTTCTGGTAGGACATCATCTAACATTGTTTGAGGGACTATGTTACAAATTTGTCAGAAAAGTGATCTGGGACATTCTTTGTTTTTTCTTACTCCGCCAAGTACTTCTTTTGAGGCTTCAATCCCCAGATTTGTTCAGAGGCGCACAAAGAGCCCCGGCCGTGCTCTGGGCCCACTGCTGCAGGGACACAAATAAGCCTCTCAAGTCAACCAGTTTCATCCTCTCGCTCCTCTGTAGCAAACGTCGTCTCCTCCCGAGCCATACCTCCGCTCTTACTTGCCTCAGCCACTGCGTCTCAGCTTGGAGCGATTGAACTGGAGGTGAACTGAAGATAAAATATATTCCCTCTGATGACACTCGATCAGGGTAGACAAGCAAGAGCTGAAATATGCAAAGCATCGTGTGCGGTGGTTTGGTGTGTTTTTTTTTTTTTTTTTTTCCTTTCCAACCGCAGATCAATTAGTGTTTCTGGACTTTGGGGGTTTTCGTTTTGCGTTCATGATGATCACAACTTGGTGTAATTCTTAACAGTGTCTCCACCCTGTCTCCCTCTGTTCTCTTGAAACTCCTAATTGCATCCCCTCGGTGCCGGTGATCCTTCGCCCCATTTTCCCTCGCCATCTACCAATGCCCCCCACTCTTTGCTCTGCTCATTCAATTATTTATTCACTCGTCTCTCACTGCCTCCCTCCCCCCACACAGCCATCCACCATCTGAAGCTGAGTCGGACCCATGTGGATTGGCACAGCGTGGATGAGGTGTATCTCTACAGCGATGCCACCACTTCCAAAATTGCTCGCACCGTCACCCAGAAACTGGGCTTCTCCAAAGGTCTGTAACCTACACCGTGTTATTGTATTTGGCGACGCTAAGGTGTGGAGAGCGTTATCTCATCATACTGTGTCTGTGTACGTTCGTACCGTATCGAACGATGAATGTCTTCAATCAGTCATTCAAACTGTTTTACTCTTAATCCAAGCAGCTGGTTTTCTGTCTATATTACTATAAACTATACTTTAATTATAAAACATAATCCAAACAAAAACATGGATTATTAAGGATCAGAAGTCATGCAGGCATCGAGGCCGTACCTGTTGATAGTGCAAATACCAGCATGCCGACATGCTCAAGACAAGAATGGTACCACGCGGCTGTTTGGTGGATAAAGATTACAAGATTCACCATCTTAGTTTCTTTTGTGCAAATAATACCAGTCGCTGATTAGAGGTGGGAATGTCGTCAGCTCAGTAGGTATTTGTTCATGAACCATAATCTTGATGTGCCGGCGGTCTGACAACAGACAAACATCCATAAAGCTCCTTCGGCTAGAACCTTTACTGCTTCCTCGAATTCCTTCCTCCTTTTCCTCCCGTCTAAAGCAGACATGACGGGTTCAGAGTGTCGCCATTTTCGATTATTCAACAGTTGTTCTAAAAAAGCTGTGCATGATGCAGTTTCTTAACTGGATTAACCCAGAAAATCAGCCACGGTCCATCTGTTATTCTCAGGCAGCCGGCAGCTGTAGTTTGGCCTCATGTTGGATGTTTGATTTGTGTGGACGACTCTAATCTGATCCCTCGACCCCAGCTCCACTGCGCAGACGCAGCGAGTGCGACTAACCACTGGTTATGTCAGCCTCCTCTACCACACAGGGAGGGAAATCTCCTTACTGCTGAGTATGCTCGAGCACATGACTGGACCAGACTATAGATTCTAAATACGGTGTCACATTCAACCCTCAAGGCACGTTACAAATCTCACCTACTGGCCTCTTGGGACGAAGAGCAGAATTTTACTTGAAGCCTTCTGCTGATTGAACACACTGAGGATGTGTGTTACATTATTGTCAGCAACGCAATACAAAATGTTGAAATGTTTTCCTTTTCTTACGGTACCTCAGGCCAATAGCTAAATGTTGGCTTTCCTCTTCCAGCCTCCAGCAGTGGAACGCGGCTCCATCGGGGTTACGTCGAGGAGGCCTCGCCTGAGGACAGACCCCCTCAGACCACACACATTGTCTTCGTCGTTCATGGGATCGGACAGAAGATGGACATAGGACGCATTATCAAAAACACTGGAATGTGAGTTAAAAAAAACACAATTGGATTTAGAAGTTACCGGTTTTTTGTCAGTCAAAATCATTTCAGTTTTTCAATTTTGCTCCATTAAATTAGGGCTAAGAGAAGTTTAAGTTTATTTGCTAACTTTTGTTCTCCGGCCTGCCGTGTTACATGTTGTGTTTTCATTGACCGATTAGTATCAGGTATCTGTCGGGCAGGTTCTGGTGATTGCAGATAATTACTTGTATTATTACTGTTCAGCACTATTGCCTAGTATGAGACTTGTGTATTTATGGAATGTGTATTACAGTTGTCACAGAACAACTTAAGCACTACTTGCTATACATTCATATATTTGAATACAAGTGGCTTAATACGTAATTTAGTAAACATACCACAAACACCGGTATACTCATTTATTTATTGTTGAGGTACATTTAATTCACCACTGTATGAACTACAGTTAAGGGGGGCAAGCTTAACATTAAAGTGTCACAGCCAGTCTCCTTAGAACCCTTTCAAGAATTTCCTTCGATAACACTGCACCTGCAGCTGTTTTTCTACTCCCCCCAACCCCCCCAACCCCTCCCTCTGCATCCGTCTCACTCTCATTTTCTTCTCCTGCTGATCTTTTTTTACATATATTTTCCTGACGCATTTAGTGAGACGAGTGAGAAAATAAATGCATTCAACACAACAGTGAAATATTACAATCCCCTTTTACATCATAATATTGGGCAGAAATCTAATCTAACTAATATGTACCAAACAACTGGGACTAAATCTTGCTCAGTGTAGCAACATATGTAATAAACAGGTCACACCAACAGCACGAATCCATATTCCAAGCTTGGTCTTGCATTTTTATATAACCCTAACCTTTTACACTACAACATCCACACACACGTCCGTACACGGATGGCAGAGGCTGCCATGCAAAGAGCCACCTGCCCAACAGGCTCTGATCTAAATGCCCATCCACGCACCCCCCACCTCGCTGGCACAGCCCTGAACGCTTCGGAGCAGCACAAACTAAAGTGAATTTCTGGCACAACCAGAGAGTGCTATCTCATTGGCACATCCATACTAATAATACGATTATCAGCATAGCCGGATACTGCCAGTTTATAATTGAACTGCCTGCTGAGTTCTTTTTTTTATTTTTCAAAGGCATCACATTTTAATAGGGGACTCAATGGGAGATATCTGTGTGAAGGCCGCAGTGGGGAAGTTACGAGAACGGGCCACAGTAATGACTTCTGCCTTAAGAGACCTGACTTAGCAAACTATGCCTATTGTTCTCCATTTTAGGAGGGAAGTCTTGCTGCATCATCATCAGCCTCAAGGTTGTTGATCGTTTTTGATTTGTCATTTAAGCTAAGCCCCGTCATTCGTGTCTTGGAGAGATGTACTGTGAGGGCATGACCCGGCCCGCGACGGGCACCGCTGGCCCTGGGCCACTAGCATTCGAAGCAGTGGTAAAGAACCAGTTGACCAAAGCCATGTGTGTCTCTGTGTCACTAAGTTAGCGTCGGGCCACTGGTCGCAGCTTAGGCCAGCTAAGGAGGTAAAGTAGACCGCGTCAAGCTGCAGAACACTTTAAGCTTCACTCCCAGCTCCCTGTGGATTACAGCATGCAGGCTTTCATTGGCCAAGAAGAAAGATCAAATGGACACGTCCGGCCAGTAGCTTATTATTTTGTTCATACTAGAAAATCTAAATTAATTTCTCTTCTGTGTTTTCCTGAATGTCATCAGCAGCATTGACAGAACATTATAGTTGTTTTTTTTAACTCAATTCAGCCAAACTTGTGTATAACTAAAAGTCAATAATCGATATGCAGAAAGCTCTGCGATGCAGCGCTCAACCCTCTTGAGTATTTTAAAACATGTCTACAGATAGTCCTGTCAAAAGTTGCATTAGGTGCTCTATACACAGACCAGCCCCCTAAAAGCTTCCATTTCCAACCCACACCCTCCCTCACCTCTCTCTTTGTGTATTTCGGATTCGCCATGAGCTATCGCTGCCCTTATACGACTAGTAGCACCGCGGCTTTTCTGTGTGTGTGTGTGTGTTTGCATCAAGGAGTAGCCAAATGGCCGTGATTCATTTCTGTGTGAGACTGAGTGCAAACACAGACTCCCTAGTCAGTCAGTAGCAGGGCGACTGGTGCACATTATGACGCACTGCAGCCCAGACAACGTGATGATGACATTCGTTGAATTGATAAATCAAGCCCGTCGCTGCGTTTTGTATCGAAGATGTTTCAAGGGCACCAAACGTGTACCGGAATCCACACACAAGTAGATATATTTCACTTTTATGTGCGATGTTATCCTCACATCTTTTTATGATGTGTCTTTTCAGGCTGAGGGAGGGCGTGAGGAAGATGGAGGAGAAGCACTTTTCAGAGCACAACGGCGAGCATGTTGAGTTCTTGCCCGTCGAGTGGCGCTCCAAACTGGCACTGGATGGAGGTCAGTCACTTTACGTTAATGTGTGTGTTTATTTACTTTGATTGGTTTGTACGTTTTTGTTGTTTTTAACTCTTTAAATTGTGAACTCTTTGGTCTTCCCTACTTTAATAAATGAGTTCATGAATTATAACCCAACTGAAAATAATTAAAAAATCCATTTAATTCCGAGATCACACAGGTATAGCTGATAAAGTGGCCACTGGGTGTATAAACTGAGAGCGTCGTTGTGTGGATCTGTTTCCATAGATACGGTTGACTCCATAACTCCAGACAAAGTGAGAGGACTGCGAGATCTACTCAACAGCAGTGCCATGGACATCATGTACTACAACAGCCCCCTTTACCGGGACGAGGTGGGAGTCGCTCACATCCTTCACACAAAAACAGTTTCACTTCTATGCGACCCACTATTCCGACTTGAAGTTCCTCCCTCCTTGTCCCCCCCCCAGATAACCAAGGGTCTAACACAGGAGCTAAACAGATTGTACACACTGTTCTGCTACCGGAACCCCGAGTTTGAAGAGAGGGGGGGCAAAGTCTCAATCGTGTCCCACTCCCTGGGCTGCGTCATCACCTACGACATCATGACGGGATGGGACCCCGTGCGCTTCTGCCAGCAGGAGCATCACGCTGTGGAGGAGGAGCTGGACCTGCGCTGGATGTCCTACGAGGAGAAGCACATTTTAGAGCAGCTCCAGCTCACGAGGAAAAGGTAGAGCTTGGTGATGTTTCTGCTGGTTTTTGTGAGGCGGCAGGGTATTCTGATACTGATTTTAATACATTTCCTTTGTGCTCAACAATCCTTTAGTTAAAAAGGAAGCTGGCGGAAAATAAGTTTGGTTGATCTTTGCTGAGATTGTCTTTTTTTTTTAGACATAGATATATATATATATATATATACACGCGTCATAAGCACCGTTTCCCGTTCTAACTTCTTCTCGCTTCTAACAGGTTACAAGAGTTGGAAAGCCAACTCCTCACACTGGAAGCCTCAAAACCTCCGGCACGCCCAGCCCTAAAATTTAAAGTAAGATGCCCAATAATTTCATCATATTGTATGCGTGCTATTACAACGTGCAGTTACTCTAAATCAGTATGTCATGGTGGTTTTCGTTGCTTGGATATTTCCATTGAAATGATTAACAGCAGTCCACCTAATGCCACAACTTAAATGTGGGCTCTTTCATCTATTTTAATAAATAGTGGTACCATTGAATGGTACAACTATGGTGAGTGGTGGGAAAACAAAATATAAGCCGTAACTGCATTTAAGAAAGGCTATCAATGTCAATAGTAAAAGACATTTATGGCATCTTTTGTCTCAGATTGAGAACTTCTTCTGCATGGGTTCTCCTCTGGCCGTGTTCTTGGCTCTGAGAGGGATCCGGCCTGGTATCAGCTGCCACCAGGACCACATCCTGCCCACCTCCATCTGCGGGCGGTTCTTCAACGTCTTCCATCCCACAGACCCCGTGGTCAGTCTCCCTTGAATGCCCCAAACCATACACACGCTATCTCTCCCGCACTCAGGCCTGCAACACAAAGACGTCAACATTTACTTCACCTAGTTATGTGCCACACACAGATTTAGGGTGTCCTTTTCGAAGTAGGAGTTGGCATTTTTTTTAACTCCACTCCATTTCTCCCTCACTCAGCCGAATATCAAAATTGAAAATGAGCACTGTTCACATTTGACAAGCTGGAAAAGGTGAAGACGTGTGTCTGCACTAAGCTAACCAAAGTTGTATTGGTCTGTTCAGGCCTACAGACTGGAGCCCCTCATCCTCAAACATTACAGTAATGTTGCACCTGTTCAGATACACTGGTAAGAGCTTCCGTCTTTTAACCCTTGACGCCAGTCCTTCTACGGACCTGGAATGTTTTCAGATAATGTATTTTTTAATTGTTTATTTTGATTGTCAGGTGTAGCGCCATTAACCCCACACATTACGATGAGCTCCGGCCTACTTATCTGAGCCCGGTCAAAGACCCGCCATCCGACACCGAGAGCATCCCCAGCCCGAGCACTTCTCCGGTACTCGCCCGCCGGCACTATGGAGAGTCCATCACCAACCTGGGCAAGGCCAGCATAATGGGTAAGACACAGACATCATTCTGTTCAAGCTACCTCAGGAACAGGAATACATTACCAGAGAGTCTGGACTTCAAAAGTGTTGTTTAAACAATAGGATGATTGATTACTATACATCAGCCCAGAAGACCTGTAACAAGGTTAAACATGTAAACATATTTTACTATTGAAAAATGTGTGAGGAATTCCAACAGCAATGGGAGGCCAAGACAAAGAGTTCCACTGTTAAAATAATAATAAAAAGGTTCTCCTGTGTGGTTCAACATTTGAGATGCCCACTTGCATCAACAGTGCCATCATGTGGAGGAATAGAGAATTGGCTTATGCACTTTGTTTCTCCTCTACGTTGAAATATATTGAATCAAGAAACCGAATATAAACAAAGAAAAAGTTGTCCTGTCTACCACTCTTTTAGTCCTTCCGTGACGTGTCATCCCACCCAGCATATCTCTTTTTGTGTCTCCTGCTACCAAAACCAATATAGGAGCGGCAAGCATAGGGAAGGGCATCGGAGGCATCCTCTTCTCTCGTTTCTCTCGCTCCAACAGCCAGCCATCGGTCTCCTTAGGGCTGGAGGGAGGGGCCAACGCTGAGGAAGAGGAGCAGAAGCGGACGGAAAGCCAGTCAGCATACGGCCTCTCCACCCTGATTCGGCCCACATCACCGGTCACCGACACATCACGTTAGTTCACTTCACCGGTTCCGGCGCGAAACCACATCTTACGTCGGTCAGTGGTACAAATCAGTGACGATGTCTCTATTTCTGTCCTCGCAGTGGAGCTGGAGCGGCGCGTCGACTTTGAGCTCCGGGAGGGTCTTGTGGAGAATCGCTATTGGTCGGCGGTGACTTCCCACACGGGTTACTGGTGCTCGCATGACATCGCCCTCTTCCTGTTGACCTTCATATACAAGCAGAAGACGACACCCTCTAGCCCGTCAGGAGATACTCCGGAGACGCCGGACTGAGGCGGAGCATTCGTCGCACCCGAGACACAAAAATAAACCTAATTTGTTTATTTTCATGCACACAGACTGCTCGACCACAGTAACAATCTTCCTTTTGGGATATCTCTCTGTGACCACCAGCTTTGCACTCGTGGGAATCATTACTGACGAACTGACTTAAATCCGAGATGTGCATTTTTAGTCTTTGTTTTTGTGTGGTTCATACACAGTTGCGCACCCTAAGGGTGACAATGTTGGACTAGGAACCCCTAAGGAGGTTCACCCTTTGCCAGTATGGCCACAAGCAAGACGTAGACATGGAACAGGAATAAGACTCTAATAAGTTCAATCCAGGAGAAGAGTCTTTGACCTTAAAACAGCTGGAGCCTGTTAAACAGTGCTTAAAGCCCCTCCTCCCCCTCCCTCCCCCACCCCTCTCTCTCCCGCCTTGTGACACACATGCCTGGTCACTGAGGCTTTAAGTTCTGTTCTTTTTTTTGTTTTTTACTTTGAGAAATTGAAGTTTTGTCATTTTATCTTTAAAATAAACCTTTTTAAGTTACTAGATCTCAAAAAAAAAAAAAAGCTAATGCTAACAAGTAAATGCAATGCCTTTCAGAACTATCCAAATACTTTCAATCTTGCAAAAAGTCTGTTATATTTTACTAACAAAGACTGAGGGCATTAACCCTTTAATAATCATGAGGTATGAAGAAAGACAGAACTATTATATTGTTGTCTGCCTCTATTTAACATTGCATCTTTGAAAAGACGCTAATTTCATGCACGGTCAAACGGTAGATTTCTTTTTAAAGCAACAGGTCAAAAAAAAAAATGTTTCAGCCAAACAGTCTACAGGACAGCTTTAGTTCCCATGAAATATTGATTTGTATACAGATGTTTACAACCGCACGAGTCCTTTATCATGAATTGCATTAGTCAGAAATTATTTTCCTACACTCATTATTTTATTTTTACATTGATTCACAAGAGTAGAGGTCTCACACAAAATAATCACTGTCATTTAAACTACTGCTTCTATGTTAGGCATACGTTATGGAGAGGCTTTTCTCTGCTATATCTTTATATTGATACCCAAAAGAAATCAAGGGTACTAGATGATGTATTTTTTCTTAAAAATATATATATTTTTTTTTCCTAGTGATTTTCAGGCTCTTGTGAATAGAACCGAGAGTCATCTCTGGGAAAATGGGATTCAAACCTGCGGCCAAATAATATTTATGTGTCCAGCTTATTAGCCACGTGGCATTAGTAATTCAAAGGCATACATCATGAAAAAGTTATTGACCTAGCGTTAAAATAGCTTCTTTATTGATTGATTATTATCTTTTGCCTTTTCTTGTGACCAATTTTCCCTTTCCTCATTTGAACGATGGACGTGTCTGCTTGTCTCTTTATTCCTGTGAAAGACGGGTTTTTTTAGTCCTATAAAAAAAAAAGAGCTAGACATCAGACTGTGGGAAATAAAAGAAAACAAAAACGTTGACAACTGGAGACAGCAAATCAGTTTGACCGCTGCTTATTGTGACACTTGCCTTGGGTTTGTCAGAGCCCTTATAAAAAAATGTAATAATAGACCGAACATCTGTCGAATGTGGTCCCTTTTTAACGAAAGATGGCCAGCAAAGATTATGCTGAATCCGGACGTCTTGCTCCCTCTGCATTGCGTCATGTTAATAGTAAACGGATGCTGGAACAGGACGACATTGCAGAGCGTGCCAACGCGCATCCAAGAAACCGCGTTGTGTTGTAGAAAAGCACTCATGATTGTTAATGGACTTCTAACGCGATCATTTATAAAGGAAGGGAATTTACCCTCCGATTAGAATTAGTCACATGTAACACACTTGTTTGTTCTCAGTGTCAAATTTCAAAAGTCCTACTCGTTTGACATTCTCTGAGCTTATTGTAAATCTGCTTTTGGGGGCCAGCTGCTGCTTTTCTTTTCCCACATAATCAAGGGCTGTTGACCGGTTTCACCACTGAATGGAATCCATTTGATGGTGTTTAATGTCTGTGTATTTTATGCAAAGGAAGCCGGGGTGCCTCTCTCCGATGGCCGGATGGGTGACAATAAGGCGGAGTGCTATGAAAGTGTTTCTGTATTTAAGCTGGTGGCTTGTGCTCACTCATCAGCTATGGTTTGCACAGAATTGACGTAGAAAGCCCATTATTGATGTTTTTTTTGGGGGGGGGGGGTTTCCTGATCATGTTTTATATTGCAGCAGCCGATGCAGAACCCGACACGCAGCTTTGACGGTGGGCCTTGGAGACCTTTAGACATGTAATGCAAAATACAAGGACAATTCCTCTTGTTGCCTCTGTATTGGGTTTTCGGACGCCGCTTAATGAGCAAAGGGGCGGACCATCGTCGCAATGACAGCGAGTGTTTTCGTGTTTCCAAATCTCGACTTTGCACATTTTTCACTCTCTCAATTCTAGACAGCAGCACAGACTTTTTAACTCTGTTCTCTCTGCGTGTGAGAAAAGTCACTAAACTGGAGAGCGTTGACACATTCTACCACGTGAGCATTTAATGCACAGCATTCTGAATGATACCAGTGTATTTTTTTTTCTGTTAAAGGCACCGCAAGCGTCAGGGAGACGTCTGCCGTGACGTGTCTAGTCGATCCGTCCGTCCCCGCGGTTGACATCAGTTTGCAGCCATTACGGAGTCGGATAATTAGGTCACAGATGTGTTGTCCGTCTTTTTAATGTTCAGTGGTAAATAAATAAGGGCCCGCAGCCATATGTAATCAGTCACTGGGTGAGAAAGAGGAAACAAACACATTTGCTGTGGGTTTATTGAATGAAATGTGTTACAGTTTGTGAGGTAACACTGTTTTTGTCTGTCCTGTGCAATAACCCATGCCTGTTATGGATTCTAACTGCCATCCAAAGGACTGTATTTATTTCCTTTTATTAAAGCATTTCCTTTTTGGATACAATACTTCTTAATCTGTCATATTCCACGGATGATAATGGGGAGAAAATGATTGAATATGCACTCTTGTTACAGCTGTAGGAGGTGGAAATCGACGGCCTCATTGCTCTTTTCCAGACTGATGTAGGCGGAACAATTGAACTACTTGTCCATCCGAAGCTCAGATCAGATTCTTTCCAAGGCGCCCCCCTGTTGTGAATAACAAAGCTGACTTATGGATCGTGAATAGGCCGCATTGTGTTCCACAAGCGGTCTAGTCTTCCACATGAGTTGCTATCTTTAACGCAGTTTTAGCAACATCTGCAAAGGCGAGGCTCACAGATGAGACCGTTTAGAAGCAAGCTGGTTCTCCTGAATAATGCATTTGTCCCTGCGGTTCTGCGTTTGTCCAGAAGAGGTCAGTCATCTTTAGGTAATGCTGCAACAAAGACCCCTATCGACCCCCCCAGCTGTCCAGTGGCCTTTATGGACATGTGTCCATCTCATGCCCTTAAATTATTGAGCTATTTTGACAATTGTAAAAGCTTTTGTTTATGACTTATGATCATTTTTTTTTTCTTTTTCGGTTTGTAAAATAAAACTTTAAATTTGGAATAAATACATCACTGATATTGTTTTAACCAATAGTGTAGAAGTGCGCTCACATCCTCTTCACCTTATCCTCATCATCATCATCAGCCAAGCCAGCGCTCTTCTCCATCTGACTCTCCTGCTCGGCATCAGGCTGACTCAAATGTTTACTCCGCAATTAAAACACAGCCTATAAAAGGCAACGGCTCGGGTGCCAGACACTGACCGGGTGAGGGGGGGAGCGGGGGGTTATAAATCGCTATCCCTGTAGTCTGAGGAACTATACGAAGATTCCTGGGCGGAAGAATTGGAGACTCAGAGCCAGAAACGTGGATGATTCATGGCCCCGTGCTGAGGACCACTCTGAGAGTGTGTGATGGAGTGTGTGTTGTGCAGCTGAGAGGAGACGGCAGTCTTTCTAAACCCCCCCCCCCTCCACCCTTCCACCCCTCCACCCCTCGCCTCCATGCAGTGGACACTTGAGCGGCAACCTGCGGACAAAATTTAACTTTCAGTTCATTTCATGGATGCAACAGAGCCATGATCCTCACACACTGATCACATGCTACCGTACTCGCTTTCACACATTCCAATGTTGAATATTTAAATTTTATGTAAAAAAAAGGTAATGAAATATTGTACTTCTTAACTTTTAAAACCCCATAGAGATTTGGAAGTCGTTTGACGAACCCTCACCTGCACCGGCTCACCGGCATGCTGTGCTGTGTCAGGAATTCTGCCCCTCAAAGACCTTCCACTGGGGCTTCTATAGTTCTAATGAACTATAGTCTACACCTTGAAAGGGGCGAAAACAGGAGAAACAGATGAAGGGGAGATTTTTGGAGAAGCTTCTCAGTTATCTGAACTGTAAGATGGACAAAAGAGCCCGGCTGTTTACTCCCGGGGCTGAAGACCCAGAGGTCCCCGGTGCTGCTGCAACGCTCAGCAGCATTATTGCCATAAAAGGCAGCTTGAGATCTCCATGTCCATCAACCACATCGCCTCGAATGCTGAGCCGGAGAACAGCTGCAGTTTGACAAAATCTTTACAAATATAGACACAAGTCCGCCCTTTTCTGTTCACTTTTGTCCGAGTTATTTTATTTATCATTTCCACAAAGCCCAAAAGGATATTAACACTCAAAAGAACAACTGTTTTTGGAAGATAGTTCTTAATGGTATGTTATTATTATATGCCAAGGTAAATATTGTTCATATATCTTAGTGTGATAACTACTTATGGCCCAAAGATGACATATTCTGAATTAAATTAAATGATGCTATGATGACTGAATGCAAAAAAAAAACACACATGGATACCTGATTATTTTACCTGTCTTGGTGAAAGTGGAAAACATGTTAAGATTACTTTTGACTGTTGGTTTTAAAATAATAATAATTATTATCATCAGGTCAATTAACTAGTAAAACAATTATTTAATGACTCATGCATCGATAAGGAGGGAGAAAAAGGGCTAAGCTACAAATTTCCACTCTCAGCCCCCCCCCTCCTAAAAGACCTGTGTGTGTGTGTGTGTGTGTGTGTGTGTGTGTGTGTGTGTGTGTGTGTGTGTGTGTGTGTGTGTGCGTGCGTGTGCGGGTGCGGGTGCGTGTAGCAGCGGGGGCCAGTAGGGGACCAGCAGCAGCAGCAGCAGCTCCCAGTATGAAAGGAAAAGTGGGACTGGAGCAGTGACGTTACACGCTGCTGGAGAGAAGGAGGGAGGACGAGAGGCGGCCGGACTCCATTAAGCTCACAGCCTGCGGGGGGAAAGCTTTTTTTTTCGTGTAAGGGGGGGAAGATACTTCACTTCTCCCGGGCGACTTCTTCGGGGTGGAATTTCTTTGCGTTTCCATCGTCCACGGAAGACGGTCTACATGGTTTGAAGAAGGAGTGGACGCGGGGGGCGACTTGTTTTGTACCGTGTAGTCGACTCTTTTTTTTTTTTTTTTACTGTTTTCTTTTCCGTCTTTTGTGAAGGTGAGTTTCACAGATTCAAACCGTCCGTCCTCCGCGCTGCTAGTTCGGCCGCTGTGACTTCTGAACACGTCGGCTCTTTGCTGGGGGGGTTGTTGGTTGTTTGTGGTTCCGCTTCTGCTGCACTCAACCCGCACTTCACGTTCACGACTCGTTCGCTCGTTTTCAGCGCGTTTTCTTTTCCACTTTGAAAGCCTCTTTCTGCCTCAGCTTAGGCGCTAGTGAGCGAGGGAGCATGTGAGGAGAGCTGCTCTCCCTCCATCACACGCCGATTTGGAACCGTGCCTTTTTTTTCTTCCTTTACCGTTATGTCGTCTTTAACAGGTGAACAGATGATAACTGATAACAGCTGCCAAAGGTCTTTATCGAACTTGTGTCGAAGCCTTTTTGTTTGTTGTGTATCGATTCGACTGCTCTTTGGGTCCGGACACTTTCTGCCGGGTCAAAGATTAACGACAGTCGGGCTGTCATGTAACTTTAAAAACATGTTATTTGTATCTTCTTATCGTCTTGTTTTTCACGTTTTTTACTCCTCTTTTTTTTCGTCGTCGTCCATGTAGCTCAAATGTGCTTAGGCGGGCTGAAACATCGCATCAGCCGACGCCGTGGTGATTTATTTCAGAATTGTATTCAAATGCCGGAGGAAGTACGTCACACTTGGATGGAGCGAAGGGAAGAAATCGCAGGAAAGTTTCTGCTGTCAAGAGTGCAGGAAACCTGCTCGGGTTTGAGTTAAATCCAGTGTAATGTGGAGAAACGCGACTGAATCCAAATGAACTGCCTTGCCTGTGATTTATGTTTAGTACCGAGCCGGTGTACAGAACTGCTCATCATGAATCCGTCTTCCACATACAGTAACCCGGATGACGTCACTATTTTTAAGGCTTCTCAAAACTCCTCCGTGTATTACACAAGTAGTCCCGACTGCATGATGACTGGTCTATTGTCATATTGCCCCCCCAACACAACCCAACCCCTCCTAGGTGCAATTCCATTTCATACCATTGCTTCCGTCTGTTGAGCTCATCCACTATTTTCAATATAAACCATTAATCTTCAAACTGCGAGTTGCTGTAAATGAGAACCGAGCATTAACGCTTCGGTGTGATGTTTGGAAATGAGTAACGCGCTGCGATCGAGAACAACAATCTGTTTCTACACAGAGGGTAGTTCCCTTTCAGAGGGTCAAAAGGCTTTCTTCTTCTTTTCTTTTTTACTCCCAACGTGACCGAACCTCAGCCCGTCTCCCCCTCTCTTGACCGTGTGGTTCTGTTTGGCAGGATGGCGCTGGACGGGATCCGGATGCCCGATGGTTGCTACGCCGACGGGACGTGGGAGCTGAAGATGCACGTCACCGACCTCCACAGGGACGTGTCGCTGAGGGTGACTGGGGAAATCCACATCGGCGGAGTCATGCTCAAGCTCGTGGAGAAACTAGGTATGTATGTATGTATGTATGTTTGCACTCACGCTGCTGCCGTCCAGGGGCTGGAGCGGGGGCTTCAGATCCTGGTCTTAATTGACTCATTTGGACACAATGGAAGTGACAGCATGAGATTTATGATGTATTCAATAGAGTGGACGTGGTTGGCAGTAATGAATGGCTTTTCATTTGACCTCATGTCCCTGTAGCTTGTGTCAATGGCAGACTGGTGTTATCTGTTCGTATTTGTTGAGCAATAAATACCTCTTTTTTTGTGAGAGGGAGAGCGATTCTTCTGAGTGCCACACATCTATGCAAGCATAGAAACGGTTTGTCACTACTGACCCAAGTTAAGAACAGACTCTCTCCAACTGTCAAGCCTTGGAACTTAGGAGCATGTTTTGTGCCATGGAAACTGAGAGAAAGCATGAAATCTGAGGTCATAGACAAGCTGAATTATTATCTTTCATGCACACAAGGAAACCTGTTTGCTAAAATAAGATATGAGAATAAGATAATATTCCATTTTCAATACATCAATGGGGAAGCTGGCTGTTAGTGTTCATTCATTCATTTATTCATAGACATTGTTGGATTTTCATATCGTACACACGACACAATGAGCAGCTATCTGTCTTTGACCTTTTGTTGCGTGACGCCTCATAGGAGTTTGTGGACTTTTCCTTTCGGGGGTTAATGTTCCTCTTTGTTACCCTGCAGGGTATATGGGTCAGTAACCCAAGGTATAAAGACACCACACACAGCCCCGCTACCCCCTCTCTCACCCCCAACTGTATCATTCACTGTTCTCAGCTGCAGTCACGCTACTTGACATGTTTGGCTGAAAGTAAGCACAGGGGATCCTCTGTTCCAGTCCCTTGAACACTGCCCTGCTTCATGAAAGCCTGGAGAAAGTTCCCTGGTGACGCTGGTGGGGCTGGTGGTGCTGGTGGGGCTGCGACCATTTGGGAGTGACGGTGTTGTGTGTCCACGGGGCTCGGACGCTCTGCATTCCTGCAGGGCTCCGAGGTTTTGAGTCCCCGCCCGTGGTCCCGTTTTTAGCTCCCCTTGGCGGAGCGCCACATGATTTAGGTCTTTGTCCCCCCCCCCCCCCGCCGGCCCGTCCGATGCCGATTTGGTCGGCGTGTGGGACGGCGGGATTCGTTGGAGGACGCCAACGCCACCGGCCCCCTGGGCCTTATCCGTTGTCTGAGTTGTGTTTGTGCTTTTTGTTTGCGTCCTTGTCGAAGGGTGTGACCTTTGTGGATGTGGAGAAAAGTCTAGCGGTGGATATTTTGTATTTATTTTGTTCGAGGAATCGGCTCGTATCAACAAGCTGTTCACCAACGACGCGGAGTGAAGGAAGTTTCTGCTGTTTTCCTCTGTCCTGATTTCTGTTTCCTTTTCTTAAGGATGTCGCCATTTGCGATGACCTTTTTTTTAATCTTGACAGTTGCAGTTGAGAAAAGTTTTGATTTGCCGAAGATGTTTGGCTGTTGTTGTTGCACCAAAGTAAAGAAACAAAAACAGGATGAGTCCGTGCATTGTGTCTCATCTCTCATATAAAGAGTAGTTACTGTAACTCCTCTCTCGCACGTACTCCCCTTCCCTCCAGACAATAGCACCACTACATCTGCATCTTACTGCAGTCACGTGAGCTCGTGAGTGTAAGCGCGCCTTGAAGGTAATCGGCCCTCGTGTGTCAAACTGCTCTGTGTGAGTGTTTTCACAAAGTAATTGCGCCCGCCATCTCCCTCCTACCCTCAGTCAACACGTTGCTATCCGTCGTAATCATTAACCCGACAGCAACGTGGGGTTTTCCACATGGCCACACACAGCAGGGAGCTGTACACTATTCACGTGACGCACACTTAGGAAAAGGCGGCGATGTGCTTTCCGAAAGCTAAACCATCATTTGGGACGGCGCTCGTTTTTTCAAATTTGTCCGCAGACGTAAACCTTAAACCTGATTTTTATCAGCGACTTTTGTTCGCGGGTAGCCGTCCTCCTCTATCCTCACGTTGCGTACAGTCTTTGCAAGTGAATGAGATTAAGAGGGATGGAAACCTGGATGGAAACCCCGAGCGCCTCCGACGGGCCGCGACGCACACCCGCTATACATAAACACTGTACGCGTGCATGGCGCCGTGAGAAGGCGCACGCGGATACCACAGAGTTTTTGGCAGGGCGAGCCTACGTGTCAGTCTAATATTGAGAGGTCCCGCCCCCCTCTCTGTCCTTCTTGTGATTCAGTAACAGCGTTCCACGATGGTGCTCCGTTTGTCCCTCGCTTGGCAAACATTTGTGGCTCCTTGCAGGAGCGGTGTGGGTTTGCGAGAGGCTGTTCCTCTCTTCCTGCGCGCCGCCGGCCTTTCGTCCACATTGCAGCCTCGCGTGGCCTTTTTCGATAATGGATTAAATAGACAAATGCCAGGAAGGCACTCTGCTATTGATCACGGCAGCGAACGCCGCTTCCATTTCCCGTGCAGCCCTCCAAAAGAGCAGTATTTAAGGCCAGCTGATTGACCGCCCGCTGCCCCCCCCCTGTGATCCTTTCAGCCGTCATTGCTTACCATCACTCCTGCTTCCCTCTCCAAAAGCTAACAGTGCCGTTTGGTCGGGAAAGCAAATATTGCGCAGCATTTATTTGATTTCTAAGGGAAATCAAATCAAAGTTGCATTGCTTTTAAACCTGCTGTTGTTTACAGTTAGCTGTCAATGTTTCACACTAATGCTTTGTTATTTTGCACTCCCTTTAGGGGGAAAGCGCAGTTTATGATTTATTTAAAAAAAAAATTTAGATAATGATTCACTCCGTATCCCTCCTCCCGTAATGACGTGAGCCACGCTGCTAAAATTCCATAAAAAGTCTTGGATGAGACAGGAAATGACTCCCAGCGTTTGGCATGTTGTTTTCTGGTGGCTGCCGTCATTGCTGGAGTCTCTGCTTCATCCACCTCTATGCCCCCCCCCACCCCCCGCCTTTGTCAACTCCCTCCTTCCTTCTCCCCTCTCCCGCCCGCTTCCATTTGTGTATGCGGAATATCCCATTTAGTTTTTTTATTCTTATTTTTATTCTTATTTTTTGCGTGGCAGCCGTTTCTTAAGGTTCGACGCCACGTCCAGCCACGTGGCAACGACTCGATAACGGGCGGGAAGCCTGGAGGTACACATTGTTCCCTTTCTCATGACTTCTGAACCAGGGCCGTGCTTGCCGACTGTTCAGTGTTCCATAAATAGACCTGGAGCAAACTAATTGGTCCAGTGTGACTGTCGACGGTTCATGGGGTTGTTTCCAGTGAGCGGCCTGCCGTTTTTTTTTTCGGCTGCCGTTCCACGGAGAACTTTCCCTGCGTGTCGGAGAATTTGCAATTTGAATTTGCGATGACCTGCATATATGCGTCGAAAGTCCTCCTCCCACCTTCGCTTCAATTTTGTTAACGCAAATCATTGAGGGAATGTATCTTAAAGGGAGAATAACTTTTTTTCGTTTCTACCCGAGGCACATCTGGCAAAACGGGAAGTTAAAATCATAATGTTCAATAAGACTTGACCTACAAGTTATTTTAATGTTTCCTCTGAGCGGCTTTGATTTTCCAAGAAAGGCTGTCAGATATTTGAACTGTGCGTCCTTTTTTTTTGCGGCGCAGCGGTGATGTCTGCTGGCGGCGAGCGCGGGCAGATCGCTCGGGATGGGACAATGGAGCGCAGGATTCACTAGGAAACAGGCGCGTTTTAACACCGGATGCCAAACTTCCTCTGGGCTTTTTTTTTTATGCCCCTTCTCCCTTGTGCCTTCCTTGCGTTCCCGCCTTCCTGCCCCTCTTGTGTTTCTTTCTCTTTTTTATTAAGGTAATGGCCGCGTTGGGCTGAAGGGGAAAGACTGTATTTCACTCCCTACAGAGCGCCGGATGTGGCGCTGAGTCGCTGTAGTCGCATCTGTCTCGATGACCGGAGAGCTGTGAACATCTCCGCACATCCAACGTCGCTCACCGGCACAGTGGGAGATCTCGTCGGCGGTTGTCGGGGCACAGATCTGTCGCCGTGTGTAATGAGACTCATTGATTGGGGCCGTGGAGCCACACTAAATGTCTGGCATTTCGAAGTGAGAAAAGGCCTTGCAGCCCACCCTCTAATCTCTGCGGACAGGAAGTAGTTAGCCTAAGTAGCGGCCCTGCCCAGGCCGGAGCTTTCCTGTTTCACCAGCGAGATGCTGCAGTGATTGTGCTGCTCTGCGCAAGTGGACGTCTCAATGAAAGAATGCAGCTGTGTAGGTAGAGCTGTGCTACTCCACGCAGGTCCTGCAAGGAAATGTTGGAGCAGCACATTGTGGTAACACCGCACACACCTGTGTGCTAATGGAGTAGACTGTTTTTTATTTTCAGGTGCATTTGGCAAAAAAAATCGCACAAATCAAATTTTGAAAATTCGACATGTTCTCCTTTTACTTTGCTGGTATTCTCATCTATGGTTATTTGTATAAAGCACACATTTCAGATAAGGAAATACATAATTCTATTGTTTTATATACTTCCTTTGATCTATGAATAATTGTATATAGGCAGTATTACTGAAAATTCTTATACGGGTAGATGAAATCCAGCGTTCTGATTGGTTGAGAGTGAGTCACGGGGGGTAAATTATTGAGCGATAACTAACAGTTGCTGTTCACATTGACTGGCGTTTCATATCACTGCGTGGTCAAAGTAACCGGTTCGCTTTTTGCGTGACCGTTAGTTGACATTTCAGTCTTTTAGCTCTGTGGCGATCGCTGAAAATCCCCCAGAAATCCCACAAATGATCGGTTTCGGCAGTGCGAGCTTTCGCAACCGGACAATTAAGGTGGTCGTCCTGAGCGATGTGAATAAATGAGAGACCCAATGCGGTTTACGTGCACGTACGGGGACTATTCTATTCTGGACTACTGAAATGCGATACATAACGTTTGTTTCGCTGGTAACCGTATTATAAAAGCAATAAGGTACTTGAGGCAGTACTTTATCTTCAATAATGTT